AGCTTGGGTTTGTTCTTGTGTCCAATTAAAATTAACATCTTTTTTTTAACAATGACGTAAGGGGTTTTGTAATTTTTGAGAAGTTATCTATGAATCGGCGGTAGTAACCTACTAGACCTAGAAATGATTTAATTTCCTTGGGATTTTCGGGAATAGGGTATACTGCCTTCACCTTGTCAGGGTTAGGTGTGACACCTTTGTCGGTTATTACATGACCTAAATAAGTGACTTCGTGTCGAAGGAATTCGCATTTGTCTGGTTGTAGCTTTAAATTGAAGTCTCGAAACCTATCAAAAACAAGACGTAATTTTTCCACATGACTTTGAAGATCGTGGCTGTAAATGATGCAGTCATCTAGGTAGACGAAACAGTGGAGACCTTGGAGACCAGAAAGGACGGTATTCATGAGACGTTGGAACGAATTTGCAGCACTTTTTAATCCAAAAGGCATGCGAGTGAATTCAAAATGACCGGAAATGCCATTTATGTTGGTTACAGTAAAACCAGTTTTTTCAGCATCCTTAGGATTGAGAGGAATTTGATGGAAGCCGGAAACTAAATCGAGTGTCGAAAAATATTTGGAATGCCCTAATTGATCTAATATATCGCTAATTAAAGGAATTGGATAAACTTCGTTTATGGTCGCATCATTAAGTCGCCTGTAATCTATAACAATGCGCCATTTCTTTTTGCCCGATGCGTCCATTTTCTTAGGCACGACCCACACTGGGGCGCTCCACGGAGATATTGACGGCTTAATAATATTTTGTTTTAACATCTTTTTTTAATTGTGCGTCTACTTCGTCTTTATGACATTCGGGAAAACGATATGACTTAACATGAATAGGAGGGGTGTTTCCCGTATTGATTGAGTGTTGGATCGCGTTTGTACATGTGAGGTCATCTCCTTCAAGATAAAATATGTCTGAGTATTGTGAGCAACACTCTAATAAGAGTTTTTTCTCCTCTGAGTTTAAATGAGAATGACGAATTTGTTCGCAGACGCGTTGGACACGATTAGAATAAGTTGTAGAAATAGTATTTATATTATTATAAGATTCAAAAGATTTGGAATATTCTTTAAAGTCAATTGGTGTTAAGTTAACTTTGAAATTTTTTATTTTAATTTGCGATTCAGTTGTGTTTAAAACCGAAACATTAACTCTTTTATTCGCTTTTAAAGTTACTAGGCAGTTCGCTAAATAAACACCATTACAAACGGTTTGATCTAGTATGAGTGCATCCTTAAGGTGACGCAACTCGGACGGGTCATTTGACACGGAGCATTCGATAACAGTTTCGCTACGCGCTGGTATAATGTATGTAGGTTCCGAAAAGTGGATAGGCACAGATATAGAATTTTTGAAACAAAGTGAATAAGTATGATAATCAATGTTCACTTTAAAATAACTGAGAACGTCGCTTCCTAATATTCCGTCATAATCGATATTAATATCGTCGGATGTGACATGAAATTTATATTTTATGGAAAAATTATCTAAAATAAAATCTAACAGTAATGTTCCTAATGTTTCGTTGCAAGATTGAGTGCTGTTTATACCCTTGAGTTTTACGATTTCATCAGAAAGCTTAAAGTTTCCATTTAAACTCGATTTTTTTATAATAGAGACACTTGCACCTGTGTCGAGTAACAGTCGTAGGGGTTGAACCGAAAAATTCGACCTAAAATAAACATGAGGTAGTGATGTTTCCTTATTCGATGTGTTCATGTTATATGTTGGTATTTCTCCTTTATTATTAATTGAATTATCAGTAGGATTAGCATGACTCGAAATTCCTTTTTGAGATGTATATTTTGGATAAGAGATAGTATCATTATGAGAGACAGAATTAGTATAAGAATTAGTACAAGAATTAGTATAAGAATTAGTAAAAGAATTAGCATTAAAATTATTTCTAAGACTCTGATGTTGATTCAGAGGTGTCCTGGGATGATTTTCCCGAGGTAATAAATAATTGGTATTATGACTTTGACTTTGTGTAAAAGATGGACTCGGATGTTGTTCCCGAGGTGTAGAATTAGAATAAGAAATAGTATTTTTTAAATTACATGATTTAGTAGGACTCGGCGGCATTTGACGTCGCTGAGATGTATTGTAAGAATATTTTGTACGATAATTATAACTAAATTCGTTATCATTATATATAGGCTTAGTATAAGATTTAGTATAAGAATTAGTAGAATAGCAATAATTATTTGTGCCTTTAAATGCTTTCGATTTCGGTAGGCACTTTTCCGAAATCAGATTTAGTTTAAATCTTCATTACTAATATCGGCATTAGAGGTAGAAGGTTGTGCGTCACATAAATGCATATTATTTCTATTAGGTGCATGCGCACTGGGACTTGGTAACGTATTCGTCGTGCGAGTGTCTGGTTGCATATTATGACGAAGGCTATTGTTATATTGTCGCTTTCGACATTCGTTTATCATATGTCCCGGACTTTTACAATAACTGCATATTTTAATAGGATTTTTTGTTTGAAATATTATGAAAATTAGAATGAGGGTTATTATTTTGTGGATTAACGTAATAAGCTCGACGAGATTGTTTTTTCTTATGATTATAGCAGTTAGAAGAATCATGACCAAATTTTTGACATATAGAACACTGTTTATAAGATTTGGAAGATATTTTGCTCAGAATGAATAGTTTTTCTTCTTCTATGGCATGCGTAATCGCCTCGCTTAAATTTTTCGGGTTTCGACATCTAACAATATATCCGTAATTAGAATTTAGACCTAATATAAATGTGTTGAGGGCTAAATCCTCCATAGCGGCAATTCTTCCTACTAGCTCGGACTTATTCTCGCAACTGTAATGTATGTCGGATTGTAATCGCGTTAAACAAGATTCGATTCTAAGTGAATATTGCATTACTGTTTCCGAATTTCCTTGCCTACAATTTTGGAGTTCAATTAAAAGGTGTGTGGAGTGTTTCTTCTCGCCAAAGGTAGTTTTTAGAAATAGTTTTAATTCATCCCAACTATTAAACGTTTTTAGGGAGCACGCGATTTGAGCTTTTCCTTCTAATTGGGATATGATATAACGATATAAAACTGCTTGCTGTTCCGAGTTCGCGAGTGCTATGGCGTTATCACAATTTGTGAGAAAAGCCGGAAGTGATTCTCTATCACCATTGTAAGGTTTGATGAATTTTACAAGGACGGATAAGGGAATTTTGTCGGACATTTCTATTTCTTCTGGTTTGTCCTTTAAAGTTTTAACCTTATGCATATGGAATTAGAAAGATTTAGGAGTTAGTAAATACAAAATTGGTAAAATGAGAATATTATTGTACACGACAAATGACAAAAGAATGTAAGGAAATAGAAGAGGAATAGTATAAAATTATAGCTAAATTAAAGTTACCTAACTTACAATATCACGATCACTACGGTGTACATTGGTTGCTATGCCGGTGTCGTGTTGCGATGACGTGCAGCGGAGTCGCGTTGCCGTGAGACCCAGGGAGTCGTTTGACGGCGGCGTCCACGTAGTTGTGCGATGGGAGTGCAGCAGCTCAGGGCAGGCTCACACGCTGGTGGTGTAGACTAACAGCCTTGATGAACTTCGGGTTGACGATGGTGTCCCAAGCTCGTGGGGCTGAGACCTCGTTGGTGCTTTGATGATGCAGGCTCACACTCGTGGGGTGGAGACTTACTGTCGATCTTTCACTTCAGAGTTTCCCAGGATTCGGATGCCACGCTACTGATGTACCGGTAGACCTTGCGACATCCCACTTCTGACACCAAATTTGTTAGGATGGCCGCTCTGAAGGTGTTTTTTTAAAAAAAAACTTTTACACCCAATCCCAGAAGTTCTTTTGGTTTATTTCCCCAATATTAAATTAATACAAGAAATGTACAAAAGCCGCGAACGGCGTGTGCGATATGCACTTAATATGGGTTGGAACTGCACTGCATCGATTACCTCAAACTCTAGGCTTTTATAATAAATATAATAATCGAGTCAGCGCTTTTATCTAACTAGGGTTGGACATAACAGCACAAAGCCCGAAATTGCAGAGTTACGGAGAACTAAATAAAAGATCGAAAAAGGTAGACTCCATCGACACCGATTTAAAAAGTGCTGATAACGTGAAAATATGAAGTGAAAATGATTTGTTATTGTGTTCTTATGGTTTAAAAACGTTACAGGATCCTATAGAAATAAAGGTGATGCAAAATATCCAGTTTTGAGGTGAATGCAGAAAATCAAAAACAGAATGGAAAAATAAATTTAAAATAGTGTAAAATAATATGTAAGTAGCATAACACTACAAACTGCCGTAACGTATAGCTAATTACATACATACAAACCTTATACCTACAATCCTACCTACATCATACATACGACGATTGTTGTGATAGCCAGTCAGGACCGCTCCACCACAATTTGTGGCTCTTTAATTCCGTCGGTTTTAGTCTCAGCGGGATTAATATTAGTGGATACATGTCCCCACTGTTCAACATCCATAATTGTGAGAATGTGGGACACCCTATTACTTACGTAAGTCGTCCATCGACTGACAGGTCCGCGTAGCCAAGCCAACACTACAGCTTAGTCAGTCCACGCATATAAGTCTCCTTTATGTATGTCCATTACTTGCGTAACCTCGTTTAATAATTTTGCAGCTAGAGTTGCTCCGCAAAGTTCCAAGCGGGGTATGGTCACCTCCTTTTCTATTGGTGCGACCTTAGTCTTGGCAGTAATAAGCTTCACGTTTACTTCTTTATTATCGTTCATTACCCTGAGATAAATTGCAGCTGCATAGGCTACACTTGATGCATCTGAGAATGCGTGAAGTTCCAATTTAGACCCCTTTGTTGAACCAAGCCACCGCGGTATCGTGATATTCTTAAGGTTCATTAACTCGTATCTATATATATATATATATATACATATATATATATATATATATATATATATATATATATATATATATATATATATATATATATATATACCACTTACATATTTTAATTTTATCGACAGTACCACTGACTGGTTCCAAAATCCCTGTGGCTGTTGTAGGAATCTGGGCTTCCGAATTTAACATGGAAGCTGTACTCTTCAAGAGTATTGCTGGACTTCCTTCCCCAATCTGTCCGAGGCGTCCGGTATGTAACTCTACATCGCGCATCTTTGCAGCGGTATAATTCATGAGCGCTCGTACAGCACTCGCATCGCGGTACGCAATCGCAGGTCCATAGTTGCGAGGCATAACTGCTTCTACATTTGTTATTCTGTCCATTGCGACGGCAAGACCAGGTATTGGGTTTCGAGCCATGAAGTCGGTGAACTCGTCCTCGATGGTCGGTGTTTTAAAACATTCCAAGGAATCAACCGGAATAATCGGTACGTCCGGGTATTCGCTCCGAAAACTGTAACGTGGTACCTGTTCCATTCTTAGACGGTACAAGTGGTAAGACGGCTGAGCCAAAGAGCATCTGTACAGCTGGTGAATTGTACATCTTTCCGAAACTCGATCAGATCCTAGTTGTTCTTGGAGTTTAATGTAGTACTGGTTTACCATAAAGCCTAGAGCTGGAGTAGATATCTGAAGAGGTTGGGCGTAACTGGTGACAGCCACACCAAGGAATTGAACGGATGAGTATTCAGGTGAATTTTAGGGCCGACTCGTTGGTGGAGGTTGAGCGACAGCAGTTACGGGTGATGGGTCTTCAAGACAAATCGAAGCAAATCTCGCTTCTCTGGCAGCGTCCGCGTGTGCAATAACCTTAGCGTTCTGGGCATTGCGCCAGGTGGTGGTCCTATCATTGGATTTCCCCTTGAAAGGGCCGCGTCCACGGGATCCTCTGGGTCTTCGGACTGAAAAATTTCTTCTTCCTCGGGAACCATGATCTGGGCTATCTATTAATTACATATCTATATACCACTCAGATAAAAGATTTTTGGGCAATTCCTGATCCCATTCAAGGCATGCTTTCCATAATTTCTGGATGAAATTCTTAGCAGTAATTATTACTGGGGCAATCCATCCAATAGGATCATAGAGTCTGGCAACATCCGATAAAACTTTTCGTTTTGTTATATATTCTTCAGGTGCAACTAGATTTACTATATACTCAAAATTATCTGTACACCTGTTCCAACAAATGCCTAAAACCTTCATCACATTATCAACCTTAATCGCTATAGACTTTTCGGTGTTCAAATTCTCTTTCTTAATGTGATTTAGAAACAATTGATTATTGCTACTCCATTTTTGCAGTTCAAATCCACCAGCTCCCATCAGTTTACACATTTGTTCGTAAATGTGTAATGCTTCTACCTCAGTACAAAACATACACGAGCCACCCCCCGTATTCGACGGATTCTTCGAAGCAGGGTTGTGTGAACCTCTCTCCCTGTCTTCTGTAGACCCTTCTACGTCTGTCGTTGCAGAAGAGACAGACTTTCGTCTCATCAGAGAAGAGTACGGTACGTCACTATTCTAGAATCCACTCGCAATGATTGCGAGCAAACTCTAGGCGATCTCTGCGATACTGTGCAGTAAGTTTTGGACCTTTAGCAGGTCTATGGGCTGTTAAACTCTTTTCGTGTAACCTTCTTCTTATCTTAGAAACACTCACAGATGTTCTCCGAGTTGATCGAAGCTGTTGTTGCAACTCAACAGCATTAGTAAAACGGTTTCGTAACGATGAAACGGTCATCTCTTTCTGATGTGCACCGTTTTCTTCCAGACCCCGGTTTTCTAATATAACCACCAGTCTACTGAAAACGAAAACTTCCTTTTAACACCAGTTATTCGCCAGTGAAAGTCCCGTTAAAATACTCCATAGAGTGGGGATCGACGCGGCGTTGAGCGGTTCGTGTATTGCATTTTTATACCCGTGATAAATTCTAAATTAAATATCCGATTTGAATGAATTATTGCAACATAAATACCCTTAATGATAAAACTATCTACTCAAATAGGAATTAATACTATGAAACTTACTAATTAACCATCGTAGCTACCACGGCTCCTATAATCTCTAAAATATAATGGCACATTTACACAGGGTCAGTAGCTGTCGTCAGTGCTGGCGCCGAAAACTGACTCTTACAAGCAGTCAGTATTTCGTCGGTAGTCGAGTATATTTCTTTTGGTGTACACACGTTCGAGAAAAATGAATTCTCAAAAACAGCAAAAAATCAAAGTTAATAATTTGTAGGGAAAATTTACATTTGTGATGATTCAAGAACTAACTGGTATGTTAGAAGAAAAGATATCTAAACAGAAACAAATTTGGGTAAGTAAATGGATAGATGACAGAGATAAAACTGGAGGTTCTGCTCTGTTGTTAACCCAGTTGAGAATGGAAGATCCTGGGGAATACAAACTGGCTTTGAGAATGACGCCAAAAAACTTTGACGATTTGCTTATGTTGCTATCAAGCTCTATTCAGCGTCAAGACTTATTTATGAGAGACGCCTAGCCAGCCAAAGTGAAACTCGAAATTAAGCTGACATTTTGGCTTCTGGAATGTCGTTTCGGAATCTCAGTCACTTTTATCGTGTATCGATACCATCTATTTCTAATTTAATACCGGAAGTGTGTTGGGCAATGTATGAGTCATTGAAAACCCAGATTAAGGTAAGAAAATTATTTATTGAAAGAATACTTATAGTAGGTTATCAAAAAAAAAAATACAATCACATATAAATCATAATAATCTAGACAAAAGTAGGTACTAAGCTGAATCAAAAGCATACTTAATAACATCTGTTACACTATCACTTTCACACTCAACATTATCGTCATTAAGAGCTGTACTAGGGGCGGTACGGATGATCGCCTGACTGGGATCTACATATCTTGGACTTTGAGTTGGCAATGAAAAATAACATCCCAAAGAGCTGCTACTGGGTACAGCTATCTGTGTAGACTGGGTTGGATAAAATCCCAAAGAACTGTTGCTTGAGGCAGTCATCTGAGTTACATCGGGGGGATAAAATCCTAAGGAACTACTGCTGCCGCTGTTTGTCGTAGAAGCTGGACTAGGAGTATAACGGTTCTGCTGAGGCTCTGTACGAGTAGTAGAACTCAAAGAAAAGTGAGTATAGAAATAATATTCACGTTTCTTCTTCTCTTTTCTATATCTGCCAGTCTACATTTGGATAATGTTGTTTGTATTTCTTCCTGTGCAATTATACATTGTTCCTCAGAGAGTTTTTTTTTAACTGAGAAGCCACATGCTTTCCGTAAATATCACAATCACTTTCTTCGTCTGATGGCATATTGATACTATGTGATACATTTTTCAAGTCTTTTATCATTTCGGACATCTGAGACAGTTCGCTACGTTTTGACCTCGGTCTTGTCGGTTGATTGGAGTTTTGTGTGATCGGCCCGGATTCTGAAGCTGGTGAATTCGCAGTGTAATTATTTTCTGCGTTAAATCTTATCTCATCTTCATCATCATCACCAGAAACAAGAATATTGTTGGGAGTGTCCGAATTATCCTGAAAATAAGTAATTAGTTATAATAACAAGTATCTAAATCGATTTAAAAATATGAAATACCCTACTAGGCGTAAATTATTAGTATAACTTGTGAAGCGACAATTAAAAACAAAAGAACCTAACCTAACAACAACGAAACAACAAAAAAGAACAAAAACGAATAATTTATTTAAAATTTTAAAAGATATTTACAGTTTTATATAAAAAAAAAGTATGAGGATGATGATGGGTGACATGAATTACAATTATTTAAAAAAATAATAATGAAGATAAATGAGTACTGAAACGGAGCCCGAAGACCAAAGTGGCACACCGCGCTTGGCAGTGGTGCTCACCGCTCACGGAGTATGCACAGGCTGTGCCTGTGGCAGCTGCGCAGCGCCTGATCTAGGCACACGCAGCGTCTGGAGAAGGCACATGCATTGCTTGGAGTATGTGCAGCGCACGGAGTAGGTACACGCAGCGCCTGGAGTAGGTACACGCATCGCCTGGAGTAGGCACACGCAGCTTCTGGAGTAGGCACACACAGCGTCTTGGTAGACGCTCTCAGCGCCTGAAGTAGGCGCTCGCAGCGCCTGGAGCAAGCACGCACAGCGGCTAAAGATAGCGCGGGCACTAGTAGGTGGAGGCGTAGGCGTGGCTAGGCGACGACTTCAGGTAAAGGCAGAGGTTTGCAGGATCCCGGGGCTGTGCGACGACTTCAGGTGAAGGCAGAGGCTTGCAGGATCCCGGGGCAGTGCGGCCCCGGGATAAGGCCTTTAGGAGATGCTTCTAGTTTGAAAGCTGAAGCGAGACTGCCTATATTGGCCGATTGTTCGCCTTTTATACTTTTTTTAGAGAGCTCCGCGCTCGACGACGGATCTGGGATAAGAACGGGAAATTATTTAAATTAAAAGCAAATTTTTGTAAATGGCCAAGAGGAAAAGAGTATTTTTGTGGAAGTATTGAAGTAAAAACATCAGACCGGTAACGAATTTGAATAAATTTGCCATGACAACCAGATAAATAACGATGTCAAAACATGTCAAATTTTGGTTTCAGGCTCGTAATAGAGAAACGGCAAGATTTATATGAAAAATGAGATATTATTGATATAGAAAAAAAAGTAGCGCAACAGCGCGCACGAAGCACGAAATTGCAGAGTTACGGAGAACTAAATAAAAGATCGAAAAAGGTAGACTCCATCGACACCGATTTAAAAAGTGCTGATAACGTGACAATATGAAGTGAAAATGATTTGTTATTGTGTTCTTATGGTTTTAAAACGTTACAGGATCCTATGGAAATAAAGGTGATGCAAAATATCCAGTTTTGAGGTGAATGCAGATAATCAAAAACAGAATGGAAAAATAAATTTAAAATAGTGTAAAATGATATGTAAGTAGCATAACACTACAAACTACCGTAACGTATAGCTAATTACATACATACAAACCTTATACCTACAATCCTACCTACATCATACATACGACGATTGTTGTGATAGCCAGTCAGGACCGCTCTACCACAATTTGTGGCTCTTTAATTCCGTCGGTTTTAGTCTCAGCGGGATTAATATTAGTGGATACATGTCCCCACTGTTCAACATCCATAATTGTGAGAATGTGGGACACCCTATTACTTACGTAAGTCGTCCATCGACTGACAGGTCCGCGTAGCCAAGCCAACACTACAGCTTAGTCAGTCCACGCATATAAGTCTCCTTTAGGTATGTCCATTACTTGCGTAACCTCGTTTAATAATTTTGCAGCTAGAGTTGCTCCGCAAAGTTCCAAGCGGGGTATGGTCACCTCCTTTTCTATTGGTGCGACCTTAGTCTTGGCAGTAATAAGCTTCACGTTTACTTCTTTATTATCGTTCATTACCCTGAGATAAATTGCAGCTGCATAGGCTACACTTGATGCATCTGAGAATGCGTGAAGTTACAATTTAGACCCCTTTGTTGAACCAAGCCACCGCGGTATCGTGATATTCTTAAGGTTCATTAACTCGTATCATATATATATATATATATATATATATATATATATATATACAGGGTTACAAGAAAAATCGTGCTAGATCCGTTAAGGGCGTGGATTACCCATCATTTCTGACTTATTTTACTATGAAACATCCTACCCTAAACTTAACCCTTTTCGAGATATTCGACTTTTAATTTTTTTATTGAAAATTGCCGATTTTTAGGCTACTACATTTATTTTTGTTTATTTTGTGTATCTTATTATTATTATTATTATTGCATTTTTACATGTGTAATTAGATGCTTTAGGACGTCAATCATTAAAATAGTGCATAAGTTAATTGAATAGACCGTAGTAGACAAGTGAAAGTAAAGAAATAAAAAAATATATTAGAAAGTTTATTTTTCTCGAAGGGATTTCTAAAAAAATTATTACGGAAATTGTTCGGCAGATGTTTTTTTAAATATCTACGTTTCATCAGCTATCTAATGAGGTATAACAATCTAGGGTTTGTATTACATTTCGTCGAAAAAAAGTAGTTGGGACGATCCAGGTAGCGGTTCTAACGGTCCCGCGCCTATTGTCCTTCAAGTTAAGACGCACCAAGCGAGCGAGATAAGTGACGATTTATGTAGGTGCGAATGAAAGAAAAAATGTGTAGAGACCGGTTAGGGCTGGGAATACAACAGGGGGTATTGTTTGGTTGTCAGTCTGCTTTTGTGCTTCGTACATAGTAGATGCGATATCGTTTTGCTCTTTTTCTCGACTTGGCTGCGATTCTAGACTATTTCTTCTGATTTGTGACTACTGTGCTTGTTAACCAGACTCTGATTTGTACCTGTGATACGGAAGTGTTGAAGATGACGTCCTACACATCTGAGGAATATGCTGATATGCTTATTTGTTACGGATACTGCGATTGTGTGTCTGCGCAAGCTCGCAACGAATACATAACTCGCTACCCCGGTCGTCGAGTGCCGGATGTGGCCGTTTTTGACAGAGTTTATCGAAGACTTCGAGAAACTGGCTCTGTTTTGAGACGAAATACAGACATGGGAAGACCACGAATAGACGACAAAGAACAGGACAATGAGATAGTACAACGCTTTCGAGCGGATCCGACTACTTCCACTAATATTGTTGCCCGTGATCTGGGACTTTCGCAATGGAGAGTGTGGTTTCCGGTGCATACTGCTGGCCTATACCCGTACCATTACACGCCGGTACACGTTATTGAAGAAGGAGACCCCGCGAGAAGATAGGACTTTTGCAGGTTTATGGTAAATGCTGACGTAGAAGACCCAGATTTTCTAAGAAATGTCTTGTGGACGGATGAGTCCAAATTTGATAAAGATGGCATAACTAACTATCACAACGCCCATTACTGGGCCCCAAAAGAACTAAGGAACAACGAAGATTCAGCGTGAATGTGTGGATGGGCATTATCTCAAATCATTTGATTGGACCTTACTTTCTCCCGGATAATCTAAATGCGGAAAGCTACGAAAATTTCCTGAGAGCAGACTTGAGTGATTTGCTGAATGATCTGCCACTCAATCTGATCAGAGACATGTGGTTCCAACACGATGGCTGCCCTGCCCATTTCAGGAGAAGTGTCAGGGACTGGCTGGACACAAATTATCCAAACAAATGGATAGGACGAGGTGGGCCGTTGCCATGGCCAGCAAGAAGTCCAGACCTAACCCCCATGGATTTTCGTGTGTATACATGAAAAGCTTGCTGTATACATGAAAAGTCTTGTATACAGCAAGCCGAATCCAGTTTCGTCTGTGGAAGACTTAAGAGAAAGGATTGTGGATGCAGCAAATAAAATTAAGACCACGTTGACCACTGGAGTAGTGAAGACTGGTCTCCGTAGAAGGATGCGACAATGTATAGAGGCGGCCATGTTGAACATGAACTGTAGAATAAGAAAAAGTTTTGTGAAAACCTTTAATAAATGACAATTCATGCTTAACTATTGTTTTATTTTACTTTTTTCGGCTAAGTATAAATTTTCTTCTTCACTGTCGCCTATGAAACTAAAGTTTTTTCAATGCATTTGAATAAAACCTTAGATTATTATACCTCGTTAGATAGCTGATGAAACGTAGATATTTAAAAAAACATCTGCCGAACAATTTCCGTAATAATTTTTTTAGAAATCCCTTCGAGAAAAATAAACTTTCTAATATATTTTTTTATTTCTTTACTTTCACTTGTCTACTACGGTCTATTCAATTAACTTATGCACTATTTTAATGATTGACGTCCTAAAGCATCTAATTACACATGTAAAAATGCAATAATAATAATAATAAGATACGCAAAATAAACAAAAATAAATGTAGTAGCCTAAAAATCGGCAATTTTCAATAAAAAAATTAAAAGTCGAATATCTCGAAAAGGGTTAAGTTTAGTGTAGGGTGTTTCATAGTGAAATAAGTCAGAAATGATGGGTACTTGACGCCCTTAACGGATCTAGCACGATTTTTCTTGTAGCCCTGTATATATATATATATGTGTGATAAATCGGACCACAATAGAGACAAGTATAGGAGCATACGCAATCGCTGCAATACAATTTGTAGAGACGCACAACAACGCCATGTTCAAAGATCAGTCGAGAACGGAGACCCTGCAAAAATTTGGAAGTTTCTCAGATCTATAGGAGTTGGAAAATCTAAAGAATCTACTATTTCGAATGAAGACGTTGACATTGAATCATTAAATCAACATTTCTCATCTACCTCTTCGTTTTCAAATGATAATATAAAATCATATACTTTAAACAATCTGTCCAAAGCATCAACTCCTAATTTCTCGCCGTTCACCTTCAATCAATTTTCCGACTGTGGTGTTAAAAAGAGCGTTTTGTCCATATCGTCAAGTGCCATCGGATGTGATGAAATTAGCCTTAAAATGATCGTCCCCCTGATTGACATTATTCTCCCTATCTTAACTCATATTTTCAATTACTCCATATCCTCTGAATCCTTTCCACGAATTTGGAAGGAAGCAAATATCATTCCTCTTCCTAAAAAGAAGAACCCCTGTTCTCCCTCAGATTATCGACCTATATCTATCCTTCCATTCCTTTCAAAAGTCCTTGAACGTTTAGTCTTTGCACAACTTAACCTCTTCCTAAATAAAAACTCCCTTCTTGACTCCTTTCAATCGGGGTTCAGACTTGGTCATAGTACGGTTACAGCGTTACTTAAAATCACAGATGAAATTCGCTGGGGTATGGACCAAAAGCAGCTCACATTACTTACGCTACTGGATTTCAGTAATGCTTTTAACACCGTCGATTTTGATGTATTGCTGAGTCTGCTACGCTCTATTAACATATCTCCAGCGGCAATTGAATGGTTTCAAAGCTATTTGCGTGGCCGCCGGCAGCAGGTTATGGTAGGGGGTGCCACATCTTCGTGGTGTGAACTAACTGCTGGTGTACCACAAGGTGGCGTGTTGTCTCCTCTCCTTTTTTCGGTGTTTATTAATTCTGTTACTTCACGAATTTCTTCTCTCTACCATTTGTATGCAGATGATCTTCAAGTATACTCCCATACATCACTCCAGAACCTTCCCAATGCCATCAATGACACTAATGTGAATCTTGCTGCAATACATGATTGGAGCAGGTCGTTCGGGCTCAATTTAAATCCCAATAAGACCCAAGCCATTATTGTTGGAAATAGTACTGTAATTTCCAGAATTTGTTGGGATAACCTACCACCTATTGTTATTGATGGTGTTGTGATACCTTTTAGCAAATCTGTAAAAGACCTAGGATTACACATTGATCAAAATCTTTCTTGGTCCCTACATATTAAAGAGTCCAGTAGAAAGATGTTCGCGGCATCATCTTCCTTACGACGTTTGCGTAACTCATTACCGATTCCTACTAGAATTTTACTGGCACAGTCCTTGTTACTCCCTATCCTTGATTATGCTGATGTATGCTATTCTAATCTTACTGAGGATCAATTAAATAAACTTGAGCGTCTTCAGAATTTCGCTATTAGGTTCATATTTGGCCTCCGCAAATATGATCATGTTTCTGAGTTTCGTACTAAGCTCAAGTGGCTTCCTATCAGACTTCGTCGGAATACTCACATTCTATCTCAACTGTACTGTGTACTATTTGATCCTAAAACACCGAAGTATTTAAAGGAAAAATTTGAGTTTGCGGGTGCAGATAAAGATCATTCCAGATTATCCGATAAGCTTATTTTGCGAATGCCTGCTCACAATTCAAAATTTTTTAATTCTTCCTTTTGTGTCAAAGCAAATTAAATTATGGAACTCGCTTCCTTTAACAATTAAGAAAGCCCAAAACATTGAGTCTTTCAAAAAATTGGTCAAAAATTATTATTTAAATATGTGTTCTACTTAATATATTTCATTATCATATCTACTATACTTGATAAGGTTTGTGTATATATGGTATGTATATAATGTGTAGCTATCTGTTACAAAAATATTTATAAATATGTATATGTATAAATATGTATGTGTATGGATATGTATATATGTGTATGATTATGTATATATATATATATATATATATATATATATATAAAAAAAAATTATGTGTTATGCATGATTATTAACTACTATTTATGCACACTTCTATATTTTTGTATGTAAAAGATCTCCTTCACCAAGGTTTGCCTGGAAGAGATCGCTGTTTAGCGATAAGGCCACCTAATTGTACATAAATTTATCAATTTAAGTTTGTTGTTCTTTTTATTATTGTGTGTGCAATAAAGAGTATTATATATAAAAAAAAAAATTATATATATATACCACTTACATATTTTAATTTTATCGACAGTACCACTGACTGGTTCCAAAATCCCTGTGGCTGTTGTAGGAATCTGGGCTTCCGAATTTAACATGGAAGCTGTACTCTTCAAGAGTATTGCTGGACTTCCTTCCCCAATCTGTCCGAGGCGTCCGGTATGTAACTCTACATCGCGCATCTTTGCAGCGGTATAATTCATGAGCGCTCGTACAGTACTCGCATCGCGGTACGCAATCGCAGGTCCATAGTTGCGAGGCATAACTGCTTCTACATTTGTTATTCTGTCCATTGCGACGGCAAGACCAGGTATTGGGTTTCGAGCCATGAAGTCGGTGAACTCGTCCTCGATGGTCGGTGTTTTAAAACATTCCAAGGAATCAACCGGAATAATCGGTGCGTCCGGGTATTCGCTCCGAAAACTGTAACGTGGTACCTGTTCCATTCTTAGACGGTACAAGTGGTAAGACGGCTGAGCCAAAGAGCATCTGTACAGCTGGTGAATTGTACATCTTTCCGAAACTCGATCAGATCCTAGTTGTTCTTGGAGTTTAATGTAGTACTGGTTTACCATAAAGCCTAGAGCTGGAGTAGATATCTGAAGAGGTTGGGCGTAACTGGTGACAGCCACACCAAGGAATTGAACGGATGAGTATTCAGGTGAATTGTAGGGCCGACTCGTTGGTGGAGGTTGAGTGACAGCAGTTACGGGTGATGGGTCTTCAAGACCAATCGAAGCAAATCTCGCTTCTCTGGCAGCGTCCGCCTGTGCAATAACCTTAGCGTTCTGGGCATTGCGCCAGGTGGTGGTCCTATCATTGGGTTTCCCCTTGAAAGGGCCGCGTCCACGGGATCCTCTGGGTCTTCGGACTGAAAAATTTCTTCTTCCTCGGGAACCATGATCTGAAGGGGCTATCTATTAATTACATATCTATATACCACTCAGATAAAAGATTTGTGGGCAATTCCTGATCCCATTCAAGGCATGCTTTCCATAATTTCTGGATGAAATTCTTAGCAGTAATTATTACTGGGGCAATCCATCTTTAGGAGCTGACTCCATATGGGTGCCTATTGGTGACCATAATGAAAGATTAAATCTTTTACTAATATATTTATTATAGCGGAACGTGCCATACAGTTGGCGGGCAACTAGTGACTGGTTGAAAAATCTTATTCACTACATAATATAGTTACAATACAACATTGCGAAGTTTACATGTGTGTGTGCGCAGCACACCTACAATACTTCCCCCTTTACAAAAAATGAATACAAAAAAACTTAAAACTATACAATGAATATAAACTTAAAACTAACAACAAAAACTTGCTAATGCGCTTGTGCGCAGGGCTGTACGGAGACCCCCGCGAAAGGGGTGGCGGCCGCGGCGGGCGCGGGCACATGCTGCAGACTGGTGCTAGAAGCACCTATCATCTGACCCATATTCTGGCCCGATATCGGAACGCCTGTCATTAACACCTGATGACGAAGCCAGCTTTTGAACTTCTTATTAAACTTTACCCAAATAGTGTACAGGATTATCGCCCCCATAAAACTGGCTATCACATATAACCATGTTTCAAAATTATCCACTTTATTCTCTACAGTATTTTGAGCCTGAGAAACAATAACTGGTTTTTCTTGAAAATTACCCATAGTAAAAATCGTAAAACTTATCGCGCTAATGCTATCGCAAAGGAAGTATTTCGAATGAAATTATATTAAATACATTATAACTAAACTAGCTACCTGGAACCTATATGAAAGTGCAGTATACGCAAAATACTGAACACGATACCTCTACAATTACATTCAACTTAAATAATGTAACTTGAATATCCTGAATGAAAATATTATGCACTTGACAATGCAAATAATACCTTCACATCCATAGTAACTAAACCTGATTATCATTTAGACATGTAATTGTATAATATATATTTTATATTAACACTAGCTTATAAATCGTGAAGGTAACTTAACAATCCGACCACTTCGCGTTGTTTTCACGGTTATCGGGTTGCTCGGGCCGGGTAACAACGACGTCAGCGGTGTGGACGGTGGTAACGAAAACCGTACATGCGCAGGTGCCACATCCGCTGCGTTGTCAGCGTTACTTTGGCGTGGCGTTGCTTCGTTACCATCACATTCCTTTAATACATATGCAGGCTTTAATCTGTCAATAGAAATATGTACCTGTCTATCGGGTAATTGAATTAGGTAAACTTTTGAGCCCCCTTTTTATCACGCGGTATGGACCGTCGTAGGGTGGTTTCAAAGGTTTACGTATTGAATCGTCCCTAACAAAGACATATTCACAGTTACGTAAGTCCTTGTGCACAAAAAAACTATGACAGTTACGTGAATCGTCGGATGTAGGCTTATAACTACGAATAGTATCTCTAATCTTATCCACTAAACAATAATCATTGACGTTACGGTTGTTCGAAGAGCCGTCATAAAAGTCTCCCGGTAGACGTAAGTTTCGTCCGAACGTTAACTCGGCGGCGCTAACCCCTGAGTCACTGCGGGCGGCCGCGCGAAGCCCAAGTAATACTGTGGGTAGCTCTTCCACCCAGGACCCATGTGACAGGCGAGCTGAAAGTGCTGTTTTTAAAGAACGATGCCAACGTTCAACTGCGCCATTGCTTTGCGGATGATAAGGAGTAGTTCGAATTCTATTAACCCCCAACATTTTTAACAGCTGGTTAAAAAGACTACTCTCAAACTGGCGACCTTGGTCGCTAGTTAACTTTATCGGGCAACCGTAACGACAAATCCAACCTTCATATAAATGTTTGGCAACAGTTTCTGCCGTAATGTCTCGTAACGGAAAAGCTTCAGGCCACCTGGTCCTCCTATCGATTATCGTGAGTAAGTATCTATAACCATCTGGTGAGATCTCAAGAGGGCCAACGATATCGACGTGCACATGCTCAAAACGCTCTACTTCCGGAAACTTAGTCAGATTCGATACCGTATGTCTGTTAACTTTAGAACGTTGACATTGTATGCACGTTTTTGCCCACAAAGAAACATCACGATTCATACTAGGCCAGAAATACTTTTTGGCTAACATCTTTCGCGTAGAACGAATTCCAGGATGGCTCAAATTATGTAAACTATCAAAAGCTAGGCGTCGAAACTTTTCCGGTAGGTACGGACGAGCTGTATCAGTAGACATCTCACAAAAAATAGACTTATTTAACATAGGTATAACTAGTTCCTTTAACAAAATATTATCGGTATTTAAACCAGACATAACATTCATGATATAACTGTCGCTACGCTGCTCATTTGCAATGTCATCGAAATTCAACGCAGTTGGCATAGTCACGGCTTCGATGCGCGATAAGGTGTCAGCTACGATGTTATTCGTACCGGTTATATGTCTTATATTTGTAGTGAACTCACTTATGAAAGCTAAATGTCTCGTTCTCCGAGGCGTTTCGCTTTCATCGCGTCCTACCTTTTGAAATGCAAAAGTTAAAGGTTTATGGTCCGTATACACGGTTATTTCTTGCCCTTCAAATAATTTCCGAAAATGTTTTATAGCTAAGTATATAGCGAGCAACTCGCGATCGTATGTGCTATATCGCTGTTGGGTGGTGGTCAATTTTTTTGAGAAATAGCCCAATGGTTTCCAGCTATCTCCTTCCTTTTGTTGCAAGACTGCTCCCACGCATGTATTAGATGCATCAGTCATTAAAGCGAGTGCGGAACCCACTCTAGGGTACGTCAATGTAGCGGCCTGTGTGAGACCTGCCTTACATTGCGTAAATGCTTCGTTCGCACTATCCGTCCCGACGATGGGAGTCTTATCATTTTTCTTTGAGCTTTTAAGATATTTATTTAATTCTGTTAGATATAAAGTTGCGTTGGGAAGATGAGCTCGATAAAAATTGACCATACCGAGAAAACGTCTTAGTTCTGCAACAGTTTTCGGCTTCGAAAATTCCACAATTGCCTGAACCTTATCTTGCAACGGCCTGACGCCGTCGGTACTAATCTCGTGTCCTAAAAATTCTAGTTTAGTTTGTCCGAAACGACATTTTGCCAAATTAATTGAAATTCCATATTTATTAAGCCTTTTAAAAATAATTTCTAAATGTTGCCTGTGTTGAACTTCGTTGTCACTAGCTATAAGTAAGTCGTCTAAATAACAAAAAACAAAATCAAGACCTTGTAAAATGGAGTTCATAAAGCGCTGGAAGGTTTGTGCTGCTCCGCGCAAACCGAAGGTCATTCGAGGAAACTCGAAAAGTCCGAATGGTGTTATGATAGCGGTTTTCTCCACGTCACCTGGTGCGACAGGTATAAAATGATAACTTCTATTGATGTCTAATTTTGAAAATATCTTTTTTATCCGGAAGAATAAAAGTAAAATCGTTCAAGCGAGGAATCGGGTATCTGTCGGGCTTTGTTATCGCATTCAGCTGGCGATAGTCCCCACAAGGTCTTATATCTCCATTCTTTTTAGGAACTACATGGAGCGGACTAGCCCACGCGCTCTTTGAAGGACGACAGATGCCCAGTTCTTGCATGATGCGAAATTCTTCTTTAACTTTTTTATACCTGTCAGGTGGCAACGGGCGCGCTTTCGCGTGCACGGGCGGGCCAGAGGTCTCGATATAGTGGACGACATCGTGTTTCGCAGTTTCTCGGAATGACGCTGGTTTAGTGATGTCCGGATACTTTAACAACAAATCCTGATATGGATGATTTACATCAATAGTTTTAACACTAGGTTGAGATACATTGACAACAGATGCCGAAACATTCAATTCTGTAGTTTTATCTATTAATTTACGCGCGTTTAAATCAACTAATAGTTTGTGGTACGCTAAAAAATCGGCGCCCAAAATTGGTTGTTTGACATCTGCTACAACGAATTCCCAACGATAAGGTCGGCGTAAGTTTAAGTTTAACACTATTGTCTTGGTACCGTAAGTTGCGATTTCATTGCCGTTAGCTGCGTATAATTTATATTCACTACACTGATTTAGACGATCTTTTCTCACGGCTGGTAAAACAGACACATTGGCACCGGTGTCAACTAAAAATCTAAGTCCGGAGTTACTGTCTGACACACACAAACGATTGAATGGAAAAACGGTACAGACCTGAAGACCCTCGGACTGTACCTCGCTGCTCAGTTTTCCGGCTGTGTTGTTTTCCACGCACAAGGCTTCGTACATCTGTTGGCCTTTTCTCGGAACCTGTAATGGTAAAAGCATAAGTAGTTCTCCTTCCGGGGACGGCAGGGACTGCTACGGCGCCTGGACTGTGAACGACGCCGGTTGCGATCAGGGGCGCGGGACCGCGACCTCTGCTGATCGATCCGGTCCACGGTAGCCTTTATTTTAGCCACCTCAGCTCTCAACAGGGCCAAGTCATAGGCGGTAGTAGATGCTGGCGCTGGCACGGTGTAAGTAGCGGTGGCGGCATAGGAAGGCCGCACAGCCTCCATGACGTTATCTGCAACTGCTGCTAGGTTGTCCAGGTCCTTGGAGTCGGACACAGTTAGCACGGCTCGGACTTGTGTCGGAAGACGACCCTGCCACAAGACGCGAAGGGTTTCATCAGGAACCTTGTCAGTAGCGAGCTCACGCATCCGCCGAAGCAGCTGAGATGGTTTCTGGTCGCCCAGCTCTAGCTCGCTCATAAGCTTCTCGATCTGCCTCGACATTGACTCCTCATAGATGTGGAGTAGCCGAGCTTTGAGTGCGTCGTACTTGTAGGTAGGAGGCGGGTTGAGTAATATGTCCGTCACTTGCGCGATAACCTCCTTACTTAGCTTAGACACGACCAGGTCAAACTTCGCCTCATCACTCAACCTCTGAGGTGCGAGGATAGCTTCCGTGCGTACGAACCATACGCGTGGCTGGTCCGTCCAAAAGTCTGCGAGGCGAGACTGTAGGGACACTGCATCTACACCTGGCGCCATAATGGGCGGTTGCGCAGGTGGCTGGATGTCTTGAACGGGTGGCACGTTAACAGGCGGCACGTTCTGTGACGTAGGCGGAAACGGCGCACTCATGTTACTATATCTATTGTCCACCGATCACAACCACGCGAATATTGCCCACTACTGCATTAACATCACATAGACCACTTCGGTCATCTTGATCACGTCGGGGTCACCAGTTTAGGAGCTGACTCCATATGGGTGCCTATTGGTGACCATAATGAAAGATTAAATCTTTTACTAATATATTTATTATAGCGGAACGTGCCATACAGTTGGCGGGCAACTAGTGACTGGTTGAAAAATCTTATTCACTACATAATATAGTTACAATACAACATTGCGAAGTTTACATGTGTGTGTGCGCAGTACACCTACACATCCAATAGGATCATAGAGTCTGGCAACATCCGATAAAACTTTTCGTTTTGTTATATATTCTTCAGGTGCAACTAGATTTACTATATACTCATAATTATCTGTACACCTGTTCCAACAAATGCCTAAAACCTTCATCACATTATCAACCTTAATCGCTATAGACTTTTCGGTGTTCAAATTCTCTTTCTTAATGTGATTTAGAAACAATTGATTATTGCTACTCCATTTTTGCAGTTCAAATCCACCAGCTCCCATCAGTTTACACATTTGTTCGTAAATGTGTAATGCTTCTACCTCAGTACAAAACATACACGAGCCACCCCCGTATTCGACGGATTCTTCGAAGCAGGGTTGTGTGAACCTCTCTCCCTGTCTTCTGTAGACCCTTCTACGTCTGTCGTTGCAGAAGAGACAGACCTTCGTCTCATCAGAGAAGAGTACGGTACGCCACTATTCTAGAGTCCACTCGCAATGATTGCGAGCAAACTCTAGGCGATCTCTGCGATACTGTGCAGTAAGTTTTGGACCCTTAGCAGGTCTATGGGCTGTTAAACTCTTTTCGTGTAACCTTCTTCTTATCTTAGAAACACTCACAGATGTTCTCCGAGTTGATCGAAGCTGTTGTTGCAACTCAACAGCATTAGTAAAACGGTTTCGTAACGATGAAACGGTCATCTCTTTCTGATGTGCACCGTTTTCTTCCAGACCCCGGTTTTCTAATATAACCACCAGTCTACTGAAAACGAAAACTTCCTTTTAACACCAGTTATTCGCCAGTGAAAGTCCCGTTAAAATACTCCATAGAGTGGGGATCGACGCGGCGTTGAGCGGTTCGTGTATTGCATTTTTATACCCGTGATAAATTCTAAATTAAATATCCGATTTGAATGAATTATTGCAACATAAATACCCTTAATGATAAAACTATCTACTCAAATAGGAATTAATACTATGAAACTTACTAATTAACCATCCTAGCTACCACGGCTCCTATAATCTCTGAAATATAATGGCACATTTACACAGGGTCAGTAGCTGTCGTCAGTGCTGGCGCCGAAAACTGACTCTTACAAGCAGTCAGTATTTCGTCGGTAGTCGAGTATATTTCTTTTGGTGTACACACGTTCGAGAAAAATGAATTCTCAAAAACAGCAAAAAATCAAAGTTAATAATTTGTAGGGAAAATTTACATTTGTGATGATTCAAGAACTAACTGGTATGTTAGAAGAAAAGATATCTAAACAGAAACGAATTTGGGTAAGTAAATGGATAGATGACAGAGATAAAACTGGAGGTTCTGCTCTGTTGTTAACCCAGTTGAGAATGGAAGATCCTGGGGAATACAAACTGGCTTTGAGAATGACGCCAAAAAACTTTGACGATTTGCTTATGTTGCTATCAAGCTCTATTCAGCGTCAAGACTTATTTATGAGAGACGCCTAGCCAGCCAAAGTGAAACTCGAAATTACGCTGACATTTTTGGCTTCTGGAATGTCGTTTCGGAATCTCAGTCACTTTTATCGTGTATCGATACCATCTATTTCTAATTTAATACCGGAAGTGTGTTGGGCAATGTATGAGTCATTGAAAACCCAGATTAAGGTAAGAAAATTATTTATTGAAAGAATACTTATAGTAGGTTATCAAAAAAAAAATACAATCACATATAAATCATAATAATCTAGACAAAAGTAGGTACTAAGCTGAATCAAAAGCATACTTAATAACATCTGTTACACTATCACTTTCACACTCAACATTATCGTCATTAAGAGCTGTACTAGGGGCGGTACGGATGATCGCCTGACTGGGATCTACATATCTTGGACTTTGAGTTGGCAATGAAAAATAACATCCCAAAGAGCTGCTACTGGGTACAGCTATCTGTGTAGACTGGGTTGGATAAAATCCCAAAGAACTGTTGCTTGAGGCAGTCATCTGAGTTACATCGGGGGGATAAAATCCTAAGGAACTACTGCTGCCGCTGTTTGTCGTAGAAGCTGGACTAGGAGTATAACGGTTCTGCTGAGGCTGTGTACGAGTAGTAGAACTCAAAGAAAAGTGAGTATAGAAATAATATTCACGTTTCTTCTTCTCTTTTCTATATCTGCCAGTCTACATTTGGATAATGTTGTTTGTATTTCTTCCTGTGCAATTATACATTGTTCCTCAGAGAGTTTTTTTTTAACTGAGAAGCCACATGCTTTCCGTAAATATCACAATCACTTTCTTCGTCTGATGGCATATTGATACTATGTGATACATTTTTCAAGTCTTTTATCATTTCGGACATCTGAGACAGTTCGCTACGTTTTGACCTCGGTCTTGTCGGTTGATTGGAGTTTTGTGTGATCGGCCCGGATTCTGAAGCTGGTGAATTCGCAGTGTTATTATTTTCTGCGTTAAATCTTATCTCATCTTCATCATCATCACCAGAAACAAGAATATTGTTGGGAGTGTCCGAATTATCCTGAAAATAAGTAATTAGTTATATAATAACAAGTATCTAAATCGATTTAAAAATATGAAATACCCTACTAGGCGTAAATTATTAGTATAACTTGTGAAGCGACAATTAAAAACAAAAGAACCTAACCTAACAACAACGAAACAACAAAAAAGAACAAAAACGAATAATTTATTTAAAATTTTAAAAGATATCTACAGTTTTATATAAAAAAAAGTATGAGGATGATGATGGGTGACATGAATTACAATTATTTAAAAAAATAATAATGAAGATAAATGAGTACTGAAACGGAGCCCGAAGACCAAAGTGGCACACCGCGCTTGGCAGTGGTGCTCACCGCTCACGGAGTATGCACAGGCTGTGCCTGTGGTAGCTGCGCAGCGCCTGATCTAGGCACACGCAGCGTCTGGAGTTGGTACACGCATCGCCTGGAGTAGGCACACGCAGCTTCTGGAGTAGGCACACACAGCGCCTTGGTAGACGCTTTCAGCGCCTGAAGTAGGCGCTCGCAGCGCCTGGAGCAAGCACGCACAGCGGCTAAAGATAGCGCGGGCACTAGTAGGTTGAGGCGTAGGCGTGGCTAGGCGACGACTTCAGGTAAGGCAGAGGCTTGCAGGATCCCGGGGCTGTGCGACGACTTCAGGTGAAGGCAGAGGCTTGCAGGATCCCGGGGCAGTGCGGCCCCGGGATAAGGCCTTTAGGAGATGCTTCTAGTTTGAAAGCTGAAGCGAGACTGCCTTTATTGGCCGATTGTTCGGCTTTTATACTTTTTTAGAGAGCTCCGCGCTCGACGACGGATCTGGGATAAGAACGGGAAATTATTTAAATTAAAAGCAAATTTTTGTAAATGGCCAAGAGGAAAAGAGTATTTTTGTGGAAGTATTGAAGTAAAAACATCAGACCGGTAACGAATTTGAATAAAAATTGCCATGACAACCAGATAAATAACGATGTCAAAACACGTCAAATTTTGGTATCAGGCTCGTAATAGAGAAACGGCAAGATTTAAGTGAAAAATGAGATATTATTGATATAGAAAAAAATGTAGCGCAACAGCGCGCACGAAGCCCGAAATTGCAGAGTTACGGAGAACTAAATAAAAGATCGAAAAAGGTAGACTCCATCGACACCGATTTAAAAAGTGCTGATAACGTGAAAATATGAAGTGAAAATGATTTATTATTGTGTTCTTATGGTTTAAAAACGTTACAGGATCTTATGGAAATAAAGGTGATGCAAAATATCCAGTTTTGAGGTGAATGCAGATAATCAAAAACAGAATGGAAAACTAAATTTAAAATAGTGTAAATAATTCATGAGCGCTCGTACAGCACTCGCATCGCGGTACGCAATCGCAGGTCCATAGTTGCGAGGCATAACTGCTTCTACATTTGTTATTCTGTCCATTGCGACGGCAAGACCAGGTATTGGCTTTAGAGCCATGAAGTCGGTGAACATTTCTTCATTTCGAGCTAATCTTTACAAGGTACGCCGAAGATTAAATATATTAATATAGAGAGGTGACTCCTCCATAATTAACATAGGAACAACTGGCACGTCGTTAGCAATAATGCAGCCAATACGTTGGATGTAAGACACAATGAATCCAACATTAAGTTCGAATGTTTTAAAACATTCCAAGGAATCAACCGGAATAATCGGTGCGTCCGGGTATTCGCTCCGAAAACTGTAACGTGGTACCTGTTCCATTCTTAGACGGTACAAGTGGTAAGACGGCTGAGCCAAAGAGCATCTGTACAGCTGGTGAATTGTACATCTTTCCGAAACTCGATCAGATCCTAGTTGTTCTTGGAGTTTAATGTAGTACTGGTTTACCATAAAGCCTAGAGCTTGAGTAGATATCTGAAGAGGTTGGGCGTAACTGGTGACAGCCACACCAAGGAATTGAACGGATGAGTATTCAGGTGAATTGTAGGGCCGACTCGTTGGTGGAGGTTGAGCGACAGCAGTTACGGGTGATGGGTCTTCAAGACCAATCGAAGCAAATCTCGCTTCTCTGGCAGCGTCCGCCTGTGCAATAACCTTAGCGTTCTGGGCATTGCGCCAGATGGTGGTCCTATCATTGGGTTTCCCCTTGAAAGGGCCACGTCCACAGGATCCTCTGGGTCTTCGGACTGAAAAATTTCTTCTTCCTCGGGAACAATGATCTGAAGGGGCTATCTATTAATTACATATCTATATACCACTCAGATAAAAGATTTTTGGGAAATTCCTGATCCCATGAAGGCATGCTTTCCACACACCCTGGATGAAATTCTTAGCAGTAATTATTACTGGGGCAATCCATCCAATAGGATCATAGAGTCTGGCAACATCCGATAAAACTTTTCGTTTTGTTATATATTCTTCAGGTGCAACTAGATTTACTATATACTCAAAATTATCTGTACACCTGTTCCAACAAATGCCTAAAACCTTCATCACATTATCAACCTTAATCGCTATAGACTTTTCGGTGTTCAAATTCTCTTTCTTAATGTGATTTAGAAACAATTGATTATTGCTACTCCATTTTTGCAGTTCAAATTCACCAGCTCCCATCAGTTTACACATTTGTTCGTAAATGTGTAATGCATCTACCTCAGTACAAAACATACACGAGTCACCCGCGTATTCGACGGATTCTTCGAAGCAGGGTTGTGTGAACCTCTCTCCCTGTCTTCTGTAGACCCTTCTACGTCTGTCGTTGCAGAAGAGACAGACCCTCGTCTCATCAGAGAAGAGTACGGTACGCCACTGTTCTAGAGTCCACTCGCAATGATTGCGAGCAAACTCTAGGCGATCTCTGCGATGCTGTGCAGTAAGTTTTGAACCTTTAGCAGGTCTATGGACTGTTAAACTCTTTTCGTGTAACCTTCTTCTTATCTTAGAAACACTCACAGATGTTCTCCGAGTTGATCGAAGCTGTTGTTGCAACTCAACAGCATTAGTAAAACGGTTTCGTAAAGATGAAACGGTCATCTCTTTCTGATGTGCACCGTTTTCTTCCAGACCCCGGTTTTCTAATATAACCACCAGTCTGCTGAAAACGTTGAAACACCCGTCGAACTGAAAAACGGGACAGGTTCAACTGTCGAGCAACGTCATACTGCCGCATCCCTGACTGCAATAGGGCAATCATTTGAGCGGCTTCAGAGCTGGTGTCCATCTTTACTTGTTCCTACTTGGGTTACTTGTTCACGTGTGTTCACTGCAAAGTCTAAATTACGACTGACCCATATTTCATCCAGATCGACCCTTTTATACCCTTTTTAGGTGGTGTAACTAGCGTCCTTACTAACGAGCATTTGACAGTGTTTATTTTTGACGCTCTATAATGATAAATGTTTTGATGATTTCATGATTTTTTTTATTAATAATGTAAAGCTATTCAAATACCCATTTCAAACATACCAATATTTATATAAATATAATTCGTTTCTAGCCATTACAACCATTTTTCGCGAAAACTCAGAGAGGTGCGATTTTTGTGACGCTGAATATATATATATATATATTGTATATTGTAATCAATGTTGACATAATTTATTTCCCAAAGTTATAAATTAATAAAATAGTTTACGCCAACAAATATACCTTTTATTTTTATAACAATCGTACATAGCGTTTTGTAGTTCTGCCTACCCAATCTACACATACAGAAAAAATTAAAAACTTGTTTTTTTTTACATACACTCCATCCAGTGTTCTAGCTTCGTAAACGTAGGGATACGTCTATGTGTGTAAACCACACTATATTCAGTGACAGATGTTATAATCAAAACTAATGCGGAATTGGGTGGATTTTGAAGCAATGATATGACCCATTCCAATAAAATGTAATATCCGATAGCCGCAAAGTCTACTCTTACGACTTAATAATTTTCCAATTACACAAAAATCCAAATAAACTAAAAATGTTGACTTCAGCGCCATCTTGCGAGAGAATGGCTGGGAACAGTCCGTAGATTTCACCTTAGTAAAAAAAATGTCTTCTATGAAATACGAGTTATACACCAAAATATATATATGTATATATATATAACCAAAATTTAATTTACGCTATTTTTCATAGAGGTAATAAACATGCCTCTCAATTGAGTTAATCTGCGAATATGCCAAATAAACGCAACTTTCTTTTCCGTACTTCTTAATTACAGTCATTTCATGTAAAGCGATTGTAGCTGCCGGGCTCATCCCGGTGTCAAAGTATTTTTGAAAACCTCAGCAACGAGTGGAAGGACAGCTTACAACGTGCACAGCAGGAAGATCCGGACATCAAGCCGATTCTGCAATGGATGAAGGCCAGTGCTCCCAGTCCAAGTGGAGCGACGTCTCAGCGATGTGTTCGACCACCAAAAGCTATTGGGCCCAGTGGGACAGCTTGCTGCTTCAGGATGGAGTTTTGTACCGTAAATGGGAAAATGTTCGGGGAGACAGCTGTCATTTGCAAATGGTTGTCCCTAAAGCTAAAGTACCGGCTGTTCTACAGCTGTATCATAATGATTGTTCAGGAGGCCATCTGGGAGTTAAACGAACTCTATTGAAGATCCGAGAACGGTTTTACTGGGTCCAATGTTGAAACGATGTCGAGGACTGGTGTTGCAAATGTACAGGTTGTGCGGCTGTAAAGGGACCTCAGACTCGTAGTAGAGGTGCATTGAAGTTGTACAATGTTGGTGCACCATTGGAGAGAATAGCCATTGGCGTTGCGGGGCCGTTTCCGGAGAGTTAAAGCGGTAACAAGTATTTCATGGTTGTGATGGATTACTTCACTAAGTGGCCAGAAGTCTTCGCCATTCCAAACCAAGAAGCTTCAACAGTTGCAGGTAAACTAGTTGATGAAGTCTTCTGTCGTTTTGGAGTACCTTTAGTGATTCACAGCGATCAAGGAAGGAATTTTGAGTCTCAAATATTCCAGGATTTCTTCTTCAGGTGATGAAAATCTCTGTCCACGCAATTTATTCTTTATTTTAGGGAAAGTATAGAAATCATTAGGGCTTAGTTCGGGGCTGTACGGCGGATGCTCTAATAATTCCATGTTTTCTTGCTCTAAAAACTCTTTTGTCCTGTGTGCGGTGTGAGAACTCGCATTGTCGTGATGGAGGATGATGCGGCGGTTGCAGTTCTCTTTACGGAGTTCAGAAACGACCTGTGGCAAACAAATGCTAGAATATCATTCTGCATTAACCGTTCTTTGTCCCTCAAGAGGAGTAGTCGTAACTAGACCGGTTTTGGAGACAAGCGTGGCCACCATTTTTTTTTGCAACACTCCGTGAACGAACAATTTTTGTTGGCTTTAACTCATTTTCGAACACCCAAACTCGTGACTGGTTTTTTGTTTCGGGTTCGTACGCGTATATCCAGGATTCGTCACCTGATACGATGTTGTATACAGCATTTGAGGATCCTTCGTGGAATCTTTCGAGAGTTCTGACGCACCAAGTAACGCGAGCCGCTTTTTGCTCTTCACAGAGCGAATGCTGTATCCATCGGGAAAACAACTTTTTTACACCTAATTGTTCATGCAAGATTATTTGTATTTGACTCATGCCAATGTCTAAAGTTGCCTGAATTTCGCGGTATGTCACACGTCGATTTTCCTCAATCAGCTTACGCACAGCATCAACGTTTTCTTGGGTGACTGCAGTTTTTGGACGACCTTGACACGAATTCAGCAAACCAGCGATAAATTGTGGAAACCAAACACCAAATGCAGAAATCATCCGGTCAACACACTGTTTTTGTGTTAAACCACTTCGAAAGTCATAATAAATCATCGCTCTTGAATTTTCTCGAGTCAGTCCCATTTTTTCAACGACTAAACAGGTTTGTCAAAACCTTGTGTAAAGACCGAGAATCTTTTTTTAAATAAATAAATGGTATTCGATTTTTAAAACCAAGGAGTTTTCAATTAAAAAGATTTTAATATGACGGGAACTCCCTCCCTCCTCTTACTCGAATCACAGCCTGCATTCGCCGTTTTAATGAACTTATCAAGATTTTGATGGTCTCTTGAGGGATTCGGTTCTATTCTTCACTAATGGCGGTTTCAAGGTCTTCTTATGTTGTAGGGACTTTATTAAGGGCTCTAACCTTTTGTTTTCGGGTGTCCCACATGTGCTCTATAGGGTTGAGATCTGGGCTTCTTGCTGGCCACGACATAACCCGAATGCCAACCTCTTCAAGGTAATCGGTTGTGTTGCGCGCTACGTGTGGTTGTGCATTATCATGCATTAATTCAAAGGTCTCTCCAGTATAGCCGGCGTATGGCACCACATTTTCTTTTAAGATCTCTGTGATGCTGCAGTTAAAGCACCTCTTCGTATGAAAACCAGCTCAGTGCGTCCAGTCAAAGATATCCCAGCCCAAAACATTACAGAGCCTCCACCATAACTGACAGTTTCTCTTATGCAACACTGGGTATAACGTTCACCTGGTCATCGCATGACATTACGGCGTCCGTCAGAACCGTATAAAGTCATTCGACTCTCATCACCAAAAAGAACTGACTCCCATTGGCCTATAGTCCAGTTGATGTGGTTAGGCGCAAATTGAAGTCTGGCTTGTCGATGAGCTGTGGTCAATTATCCTGTTGCTGGCTTGTGAGGTCTTAAATTCTGCTCACGAAGTCTCCTTCTCACAGTACCATTACTTATAGCTACATCTCGATCGTTCACGTAAGCGTAGCTGGATATCAACACCAGATAGGTCCGTTTCGTAGAGCTGATACCACTATAAATCGGTCATCCCTTTGAGTTGTCACCCTATGTCTTC